TCATCATCCTATGGATTGAGAGTATAGATGTACGTAGGATTCCACTAAACTCAAGAAGTCACTTCCTCCGAAATTCTTATCTCTTTTTCATTTTTTGTTGTCCTAAAATTTTAATTTAAAAAGTCAATGTAAAAAGGAATATATTTTATACGTTAACCCTCTTAGAGTATCTTCAATTTCAAGAGGATTCAAATTTCGGACTCTTTACAATGTAAAGAAATTAAAATTTGAAGGAAGACAATAATTACATAGAAACATCATTGTATTATTATAAGTTCAAAACTGATTGAACATTATTGTTATATGTTACGGGAATCTATTAAGAATTTGTTGTTATTTGTAACATGAATTACTTTTTATTTTTATAGAATATAAATGTTTAGTAAATAAATAATAATAATCAAATCCTTAGTACACTATTTTTTTTTTCTTTCTTATTTACTGCATGCCAATACTTTTCACCATTGTATTATTACAACTTTTGCAGTTGTCAACTATTTTTTGTAAAACAATTAGTTCGCATTATGTGAAACAAAACCCATCTTTAATATATATATATATATATATATATATAGTTTTCATTGAAATATAATTAAACAACAATCCTTTTTTTTTTTCTTCTCTCTCGCTCTCTCTCTCTGTCTATTAATTGCACAAGAAGATTGTACCTTTTTTGTCCAATCCCTTTCCAAGATCTTCCTACGGATTTACACTTTTTTCCAAATCACCATCGAATCTACCTTTTGTTACAGATCAAGACAAGCCATCGTGCTTAAGAAAAGTCAAAAAAACAAAATGAGAGTAGTACAGATAATTTGGAAATTACAAGATAAACCCTGATTGATTCAATTTCTGATCAACAGTATGATCAGTGATCACCAATTGATTAGACAGATCATCATGTAGACTTCGTGTACGTTATCACCCTAACCATACGTACATTCAATTCCCTGCTTTATTATATTATTGATGCATAATGCCTTGGTACCAGCTACCAACACAGTGAATTGTGAAAATGAAGATGTGCAACAATTAATTAATTTTTTTTAACCAAAAAAAAAAAACAATTAATTAATTTTGCATTTTATACAAGATACATAATAGCTTCTATTTTTTTATTTTTTTTATTTTTACCTACTTTTAAACTTCCAATGCATTTGAGAGAGATTTTTATTTTTATTTTTTTATGGTAAATAATTTTATGTTTATTACCCCAAAAAGAAGAAAATAAGTAAAAAATAAAATAAAAATATTACATTAAAGCTTAAGAAGTGAACTCTCTTGCAATGAATATTATGGTATATTTACTGTATAATATGAGTAAATTAACAAAAACGCGAAAAAAAAAAATATACAATCGTATAATCAATCTATGTAATTCACTGACATTCTCTAATAATAGAATCAAACAAAATCATAAATATCAATAATAGTATCAATTATCATGAACGGCCAAAAACTGTGCAGTATAAATTATCGAAATTCCTAAACTGGATAACTCGGAAATCATATCACAATCAAATTATTGATTCTACGTGCACATTACGTTTGATTTTGGTCATACAATCTAAGCAATTCATTTGGGAAATACATTAAATCATGAAAATATAGTATCAATTATCATGGATAGCCGCATATTATGGAGCATAATAGCTTGAAAGCAATTGGTCGGTGCCCAATATGAAAAAGTGAAAAAAAAAATCTCCAAACATTGTAATAAGGTCAAGGTGTAATCACAAAATTACGTGATACAGAATTTGCTTCGACAAAGTTTCATATCAATGTACAAGTCCAAGTCTCCAATCAATCCCAAGTCAAATAATGTGATTAGCTGAAAGTTAAGTATTTATCCCATTCTTAGGCATAGAATTGGAATGGATGAAATTAGGAGAAAAATAATTTAAAAAATTAAATTAAATTATTTTTAATTTTAAAATTTTAATTTCATGCCATCAAATATAAGCCTAAATAAATTAGAATTAATTAGAAATAAAGCTAAGTCATATAACTCATTCTGCCATAAGGTTAAAAAAAAAAATGTTGAATTGAGATTTTAAGAATGCATGGGCAGTTCTGGAAATGCATTTTAGTGTATACTTGGAAACAGAGAAGAATTTCCAAAGTCAATATCAGAGTCTCACGTGCACCTTTATTTTAGTGTATACTTGGAAATGCATTTTTATGTTTCACGTGCACCTTTATTTTTGTTCCAGTTATACGCAACTTAAATTTTAAAGCAAATTATACTAATATCTCTTCTTCAAGTTGGATCAAATTTTACATAAATAAATATTTTAATTTTAACTTATTATTAAATAGTTGATTAGGATTTTAATCACACTTCAAATGGCACTTTTCAAATGTGACCGGATACTTTTTACATACAAAATGATTTTGCTACCTTTGACTTGCGCTTGACTTACAAAAACAATTTTTTCATGGCAAAACTAACCATGTGACCCATATAAGTAAGTTGTTGTGTGCGGATGCACCATAATAGCCATTCTCTACAAACCACCAAACCCATCATCTCCATCACCATCCCCACCCAAAGATTACTAATTAAGCTGAAAAAGAGATAAACATGAAGATTTTTAGACTAATATCATTTTATCACAAAATTAAGTAAAATTATTATTATTATTATTAGACATTAATCTAAATTCTAGCTCAATTATTTTAATAACGAACCCTGATCATTTTTAATTTTTAAGTCTTAATTTAGGGTTAAATGCAAAAAATTCTCATCTACTATTGATATAATACATATCGGTCCTTATGTGGTAAAAAATATTCTTATATTATTATTTTAATACAAATAAGTTCCTGTATGGTGTAAAATGACGATAACACCTTCGCTTTAATTAAATAAATTAATAATTATAAATACTGATTATGTAAAATGACTCTATTGTCCAAATTTATATAAAATTATATTTATTTAACAAAAAAACAAAATAAACCTCAAATTAAAATTATATAAAATAATAAAATAACTTAAACCTGAATATAATTAAAACTAAAACCAAACATTCCCGACCTCCATTACCACCACCCATCATCGCCTGGTGGAACCACAATCACCCTCTGCAACAAACTGATCGGAGCGTCAATACAAACCCCAGACCCACTGTTCGTCGCTGCCGTGCCTTCACTTTCACCGAAATTGCAGATCATTTCTCGCCGACGAGTTCTGCTGGAGTATTTGTCGTTCGCTACCCTCATCACTGCTGCCTCCTGTTGTGCTGTCCCGGGAATATTCTGCCATTGCCTCTGCCGAAATCTTCTCTGGCCATCATTAACGTCACCACCACCGTACCTTCGCCGGAATCGTGACATCCTTACAGTCATTGTCATATCGTTTTTGCCGGAGTAGTTGCTGGTTCAGTCTTCTTTGCTCGCCGATTCAGTCACGCCACTAATAAATGCTCATCCTTGTTGCCTCTTGTTGCATCGTTGTCGTAATATTCATTCTCTGGTCGCCGTTGTGAAGCTCTCTCTGGTCGTCGGCGTTGAATTTTCTCTGGTTGTATGTTACAGAGCTTTTCGTTTGGGGTCTGTAATCATAATCAAACCCAGATAAAAAATAAGGATTAATTTTGTGCAAATCTTATATATCAAAGGGATTTTTTGCACTTAACCTCTTAATTTATTGTAAATTAATCATTTGAAAAATTTATTAATTTATTGTAAATTAATCATTTGAAGAATTTATTAATCAATATCTTGGTTATAATCTTGATATATTTAAATTTATATATCATTTCCTTCTTAGATCGGCTTCTCCAGCTTTCAATTTTGACAAGTAAATTCAGAATGGAAAAAGTTTGATTTTGTTTGGAACTTGTACAGAGAGGAACTTTGAATTTTCAGATTAAATTAAGAATTTATAATTTTTCGAAAGAATAAAAAAATAATAAGTAGGAAATTCAAAGTTCCTCTCTGTAGAATGCCAAACCGGTGAAACAATGAATTCCATTAATCCTTGTAATTCCATTGAGTCTGGTTTTTTGGATATGTGTAAAATAGATGGAGAAAGAGGGAGAGAGAAAGAGAGAGAGGGTGATTTATATGTAGGTATTTTTGTCATTGAAATTTATAGATATTTTATATTAAATGGTGTTAAAAAAATTAGGAGTAAACGAGTCTGTATGTGTTAGAGTTCAAAAAATTAAAATCAAAATATTGGTTTATGTAAAATTTGACAAATAGTGTAATTTACCATAAATTTTATCACTTTAACCCTACTACATCTGACTTATTTCATAACACTGTCCTTCTTTCCTCTTCATGCGGCAGCCAAGACTGTGTGTCTGTGACTTTGCCTTTTTGTTTTTTGTATTTGTATTTGTTTTTTTCTATTTTCTCTTTTTCTTACCTTTTAATTCCATGGCTTGATTACGTTGATTGACATGAGAGCTACTTAGTCCTCCACCTCTAATTGGGTGGCGTGCATGTGCCTCTTCCCTAGATACTACAAGTCTTAGCAGTGTGGTCCTTTTCTTCTCCACCTTTTACTATAATTTATTCTACAAAATAAAAAAAAAAATAAAAAATAAAAAAAAACCCAATGCCAAATCATCTAAAAACCAAAGCAATAAATTACCTTACAACATCTTCCCAATTTACTATCTCTTCCCCCCTTCTCATGCAACTCTCTGTATATGTAGTTACTAGTTATGTATATAATATAATCTATTATTGTACATGCAAACAGAAATTAATTATTAAATTCTTGATGAGTCTGTATATGAATCAGGATATATTAAATTTTGATAATTAATTTTAACTTTTTTTATTCCTTAAATTTTTTTTCTGGTAGGGAAGGAAGGTGCTTGAAGTTTGAGTAAAGCGGTTTGCCTGACATCTCAGGGTCAAGTGGGTATGCCTAGGGAATATAAAGTAACAAAAATGTTGCCATTTAATCTTCTTAGTTATGCATTTACTACTTGGTTTGGAGGAGACTAGGGACCTTCCCCTTGTAGGGTACATTGTATTTTGGCGTACTTGGCCTTTCTCTCTCCACAGATATGGTACGCCCACAGTCCCCTCTCTCTCTCTCTCTCTCTCTAGATATATATACACACACACACATACATATATGACTAGCTTCAAGTAGAGCAAGCCCATACCATTTACAGCTCTCTCCGAAAGTGGGTTCAAGCTTCTTGGGAGCATCAATGGCTATTTTCATGGTGGTGTTGGTGGTGCTCTTTGTCTGCACAGCTCTGTTGAGATGGAATGAAGTGAAGTACAGCAAGAAAGGTTTGCCTCCTGGTACCATGGGTTGGCCTGTTTTTGGGGAGACTACAGAGTTTCTAAAACAAGGTCCAAATTTCATGAAAAACCAAAGAGCAAGGTAATATATAAATCTTTTGTGAGAAATAAAGTTGCTGTTTGTGGGTGGTGTTATGGGTTTTTGTCAGTGGACATAAAACTTTTTCTGTTCAATTGCTCTCTGTATAGTTTCTGGTTCTACTGCTTTTGGTCTTTATTAATTTTCTTATTACTCTAATTTGTAGTGAGTTGTGTATGTTTGTTGTATCTTTTTGCAAGTTGTGGTGGGTTTATACTGATTTTCAGGTCTAACTTTGTACATAGAAAGCAAAACCCCTTACCAATCAGAATTGACTTCTTCCTTACCCCCTGAACCAAACCCTTCACCAACTGCAGTGGGAGCCTTGTGCACTCGGATAGCCCATTTTTTAAGAAATGGAGGGGTAGGTATGCAATACGCACCCAATGCGAAAATATATGTACCACCACTTATCTTATTAGGACTCGAACTCTCAACCTCTCACCTCACATAACTTACAACTAGAGCTAACCCCTCGCGGCTGCGCTCAAATTTCATTTTCATCAAAACCCATAATACATACTTATTATTAGCATAAGCCAATGTCCTAATCAATCATAGCCATTATTAGAACACTTTTGTTGAATCTTTCTTAATTTCATGAATTTGTACCAGGTATGGAAGTTGTTTCAAATCCCACATATTGGGGTGCCCTACCATTGTTTCCATGGATCCAGAGCTAAACAGATACATCCTAATGAATGAAGCAAAAGGATTTGTTCCTGGTTACCCACAGTCCATGATAGACATCTTAGGGAAATGCAACATTGCAGCTGTTCATGGCTCCACTCACAAGCACATGAGAGGGGCATTACTTTCTCTCATAAGCCCCTCCATGATCAGAGAACAACTTTTGCCCAAAATTGATGAATTCATGAGGTCCCACCTAAACAATTGGGATAACAAAATCATTGACATCCAAGAGAAAACCAATGAGGTCTGTACTGATAAACTAGAACTCAAAGAAAACATAGTGTTCACTCTTCTTTTTTTTTTTCTTAGGTTTAAATCCTCATATGTTTTACCCTGTTTTTTTAGATGGCATTTCTCTCCTCGATCAAGCAAATTGCGGGTATCGAATCAAGCTCAATAACTCATGAATTCATGCCAGAATTCTTTAAGCTGGTATTAGGAACCCTTTCTCTGCCAATTGACCTTCCCGGCACAAATTACCGGCGCGGGTTTCAGGTACTGCCTATATACGATTCAATTTTATGTAGCTACTACTATTGTTAGTAATGGAATCATTTTCATATAATTAAGCTGAGATATGTTCACAGGCAAGGAAGAACATAATTAGCATGTTGAGACAACTTCTAGAGGAGAGAAGAGCTTGCCAAGAAACCCAACATGACATGCTTGGTTTACTACTGACAAGTGAAGAAAATAGATACAAGCTTAGTGACGAAGAGATAATTGATCAAATAATCACAATTTTGTACTCTGGGTACGAGACTGTTTCTACTACTACGATGATGGCTGTTAAATATCTCCATGATCATCCGAGAGAGCTTGAAGAGCTCAGGGTAAGTTAGAATTACTTTCAAATGCTCTTATTGAATTTTTTGTTAGCTTGAACTTCAGATCATTCAGTTGTTTACATTTTAATGTTTCTTATTCTAACTTGATTGGAAATTCATTAGAAAGAACATTTGGCAATTAGAGAGATGAAAAGGCCAGAGGATCCGATTAACTGTGAAGATTTCAAATCAATGCGCTTCACTCGTGCTGTAAGTACTTTTAAATTTGAGATTTCATTTAAATTTTTTTTTTTTTTTCCAAAACTATATATATACATATATGGAAGGATCAGCAAATTAGATTCACTGTGATGTTTATGATGCAGGTGATCTTTGAGACCTCAAGACTAGCAACAATTGTTAATGGGGTTCTGAGGAAAACAACTAGCGACATGGAACTAAATGGTGAGTCCAGGAATATTCATAACAAGAGATGGTACATGATATCATACCATATCTTTTGGTTGTTGCTTTAATAATCTTTAGGGGCTCAAGGAATTAATTTAGAGTAGCTCTCTTTTTTTGAGACTTCTTCAATAAAATTAAGTAAAACATTAGTGTGTGTAAGTGTGTGTAAGATCATCTTCCGCTGGTGGACCCTGCTCTATCAACAACCACATGACCTACCTACCATTCCAGCCAGAACATTCTGTTTATGACCCATTAAAAACATAATTTTTAGCAAAAGAGGAAGCTCAATTTCTTTATTATTTCCATCATAAGCATCACATATCCATATAATCTGTGTTTTATTTATTTATTTATTTATTTCAAATATGGATAATTTGGTAATAGTAGTTGATCACGTAAGTTGGTTAAATCACATAAATTTCCCTCTGTTTTTCCAGGATTTGTTATCCCCAAAGATTGGAGAATATATGTTTATACAAGAGAGATCAATTACGATCCGTGTTTATATCCGGACCCATTAACCTTCAACCCATGGAGATGGATGGTTAGTGATCAATGATCATAATAAGTATTATATTGGTTTATAATTCGAGTGATTAATTTTAGGCATGATTGGTAAAATTCAGGACAAGAGCTTGGAGTCTCAGAACTACCTCTTCATATTCGGAGGAGGTACAAGGCAGTGTCCTGGAAAGGAACTAGGAATAGCAGAAATTTCTACATTCCTTCATTACTTTGTAACTAAATACAGGTACCCAATAACTTTTCAAATTGTTAAGTTATTACAGTTGTGTTTGGATCAGATGAAAAATGCAAATAGAAAATTAATGAGTTTTGAATTCTTACTTTTTCTTGGTGATCAATCACACAGCATTATTTTACACTATATATATATATATATTTTTTTTTTTATAGATGTAATTCTCTTTTGTAATGCAGATGGGAAGAAGTAGGAGAAGACAAGCTAATGAAATTTCCAAGAGTTGAAGCACCAGATGGGCTGCACATTAGGGTTTCGAGTTACTGACTGACCTAATAATAATAATATATGTACAGCAAGATATATGGCATATCTGAGGATTATGGATGTAAAATAATGTTCTAACAGAATAGGAATTGAATGAAATAGAGATTTACCATTTCGGCAAGTTATCAGTGTTCCCAAATTTTGATTTGTTCAATTAACATAAATAAATAAGGTTGGTCATGGAGATATCACCATAATTTCATAAATTTGAGCAAAGCCTTTTTATTGTTACCCAATTCAATCCACCTAACAAAAGTGCAAACTAATGCCATCAAAGAACCAAAAAATAATAATAATAAATAAATGGAAAATGGAAAACGGAAAATGACCGAAAGTGAGAGAGAAGAGTCTTTCACCGATTCTCCAAAAGCTTTTATTGGTTTTCAAAAAAATTTCAAATTTATTTTCAAGAAAACCGAACCAACCCACAGTATAAATAGGCTCATATCCCCTGCAGTGCTAACCCAATTGTTACAAAGCCCATTATTTGCTGTTGGAGAAAGTATTGGATGCCGGGCGGATCGTGGGATGTATCTAAGTTATACATGTTCACAACACTTGCCACTCGAATAAACTGGGACACAAAAACACCCAGTTTTTTGCTACAATGCAAAACTATTAGATCACGAAATAATTAATTTGTTAGTTAAACACGACATGACACAGGAATAGAGATTGAATCAGTCTGTCTGGACACTTCTTCTGTTCTCCGTTTATTAGTAGTGGATGCACATATTTCCCGATCTCGTCGACCTCCTTCGTCCCACCACGTCTACGCTATTCATACGTACATAATAAACACACCCCCCTCACATTCTACTTACTACTACTTCCCTCTCCTCCTTTTCCCAACTCTCTCTCTCTCTATCTCTAACATGGCTGCTCCAACGCCCCTTCTGAAAGACGAGCTCGACATTGTCATACCCACCATTCGAAACCTTGATTTCCTCGAGATGTGGAGGCCATTCTTCGAACCCTACCATCTGATCATCGTCCAGGACGGTGACCCTTCCAAGACCATCGACGTCCCTCCTGGATTCGACTACGAGCTCTACAATCGCAACGACATTAACAAGATTTTGGGTCCCAAAGCTTCCTGCATTTCCTTCAAGGACTCCGCTTGTCGATGCTTCGGTTACATGGTCTCCAAGAAGAAGTATATATTCACAATTGACGACGATTGTTTTGTGAGTTCTACCAATTTTCCTTCTATTTTTTATTTTTATTTTCTAGGTTTCGAAATTTTTAACGATAAAGCTTAGATCTCAATACACACTCATACATATACATCCATATATATAATGTGTGTGTATTTATGCATTGAATTTAAGAGAAGAAGAGTTCTTATTTTGTGGTTTGGGTATAAATCGGTAGATTTGTTCTTTTGGAGTATTCTAATCATTGATAATTTTAATTTTGTTCATATTTATAAACTGGTTAATCTGCTTTTGCTGTATTATATACTATTTTTGTTCTTGTAATTTCAGCATTACTTTGATCCGCATTGTTTTGTAACTTTGCCAAAAGGCTATGGTTTGTTGAGGGGCATTTTGCTAGTTTTAATTGACTAAGAGTTGTTCTTTTGGGCAACTTCAATCAAATTATTTCTATGGCTATAGATTTGTAGAAGTAATATGTTTATGATTGCATTACAGTAATGCTTTGTTACGCACTGGGGGTGGTTGACAGGGAATAGAATTTGACATGTCATGGTCTGTCTTTTTTCCCATTTTGATCTGTGCACCAAATTATAGTTTGATTGGAAACAAGTTTCTATAACTCTATTGTGTCAACCTCTGTTCCTTCAATTTGTATATTCAAATAATTTTTCTTGATCTGAATCATATTTTAACAATTTAAGCATAATATCTACAAGGAATTATGCCTTTTTAGTTGATTATTAGCCCGTGATCTGCAGAGATAATATATTTAGAATTGTCAATCTGATAGCATTTCCCTGAAATATATTAATGACCAGGTCTTCAGATTTTTTTTCTTCTCTAGTCTTGGGTGGTGGGTCCTGATTGATAATTAACCAGTCTCGACTTTTAAGAGTGATTAGAGTACATTTGGTTATTGCCTCTGCTTGTGCATAATGTACTGATAATGGCACCTGATAAGTAACCTGATAAGTAGTATGGTAAAATGGTGTTCTCTATATTTTAGTATGATATCATTTATGCCAGTGTTAGAAGTTTTTTTACCTATGTATCCGATTGTCTACTGTATCCAATGTACCATTTGAATCTTGGGGCATTCATATTCTGCTTGATTGCTTTGTACTAAAAGACCATCTAATTAAGGTGAAATAAAACAACTGGCAAGGCAACAATTATAACCACATTACTGTCCAAATAACCTGATAAGTAGTATGGTAAAATGGTGTTCTCTATATGTTAGTATGATATCATTTATGCCAGTGTTAGAAGTTTTTTACCTATGTATCCGATTGTCTACTCTATCCAATGTACTATTTGAATCTTGGGGCATTCATATTCTGCTTGATTGCTTTGTACTAAAAGACCATCTAATTAAGGTGAAATAAAACAACTCGCTCAATCCCAGCTGCCGCCTCAAAACCGTTCCACTGATCAAGTGCCCTATCCACCATATCTATCTTCCATAATGTATTAAGACATGCGAAAAGGAGTTCAATACAAGAATGGCATTTTACACACATACAGACCACAACAACAGTGAAGTTTTGATTCAGGTCCATAATGTCTATTAGTTGGCGACGGAGGACGAGGGTGCTTCTTATTATATACAGAACTGGATCTTGGTCAATTCCCAGATGTGGGCAGACACACTTTTGTTACAAATAGATTACGGTGTACGGAGTTTTTTTTTTAGAAATGAATGTGATGTTGTATTAATTATTGGGACCCAATCATATTGTCAGATGGCATATTATTATCCCCGTTCACGTAGTTGGATGCATATATGAGTTCACCGTATATCCCGATTGAGTTAAACATACTTAGTGAGTAAGAAAAGGAATACACACATTACACAATAAAATGTGCACTTAACCATAGCCTATATAATTCCATAGCTTTCTTTTTGTTGTTAATTATAGTTGTTGGAATTATATCCGAAAATTAATTTAAAGAAGAGAATAGGATCACTATCCCAACATGAGTTGTTACTTACAATTAAATACAAATGTCTTAATACATTATAGAAGATAGATATGGTGGATAGGGCACTTGATCAGTGGAATGGTTTTGAGGTGGCAGCTGCGATTGAGCCAGTTGTTTTACTTCACCTTAATTAGAGGCTTTTATCTTCTGGTATTAACTATTGGGATCCAATCTTATCTTCAGATACCATATTAAAGCAGTTTTTGTTTGCGTCTATTTGCCTAGCTTTTTATAAACAGAATCTAAATCATTATAACTGTAAGTTCTTTTGTGAGTTGAATGAACATCTAGTTTCAACTGTGGGTTGTTTGATTTGGACTTAAAATTTAATGTCATGAATCCCTTACTAATGCTTAGGTTGCTAAAGACCCATCTGGCAAAGATATCAATGCACTAGAACAACACATCAAGAACCTTCTCTGTCCATCAACTCCCTTTTTCTTCAACACCCTGTATGAACCTTTCTGGAAGGGTGCAGACTTTGTCCGTGGATACCCTTTCAGCTACCGTGAGGGTGTTCCAACTGCTGTTTCACATGGCCTCTGGCTCAATATCCCAGATTATGATGCTCCAACACAGCTTGTGAAGCCTCGTGAGAGGAACACTAGGTCTGTCCTTCCTTTGCAAGCCAATCTGTCAATTTATTTATACCCCTTTATTAATAAAGCAAGATTCGAGGTTATATGTTATATGCACATGTTTTATCAGGTATGTGGATGTGGTTATGACAATTCCGAAGGGTACTCTTTTCCCCATGTGTGGTATGAATCTAGCCTTCGACCGTGAGCTTATTGGCCCTGCAATGTACTTTGGACTCATGGGTGATGGTCAGCCAATTGGGCGATATGATGATATGTGGGCTGGATGGTGCACCAAGGTGCCTTTCTTCCTTCTTTTATCCCATTGCTCTTTTTTTGTGTGAACATGATTTGGATTTCATAAAACCTATTTCGGGTGTATTATAACCTAGACATTTAACATCGAGAAACTTAGAGAATTACTCATCATTCTGATATTGTTTTATTGTTTAGGTGATATGTGACCATTTGGGATTAGGAATCAAGACAGGGCTGCCCTACATTTGGCACAGCAAAGCTAGCAACCCATTTGTGAACCTAAAAAAGGAGTACAAGGGCATATTCTGGCAAGAAGATATCATTCCATTTTTCCAGTCCGCCATTCTTCCAAAGGACTGCACAACTGTTAAAAAATGCTACATTGAACTGTCCAAGCAGGTGAAGGAAAAGCTTGGGAAAGTAGACCCCTACTTTGTAAAGCTAGGTGATGCCATGGTCACATGGATCGAAGCTTGGGATGAGCTCAACCCAGAAAAGGATTCTGCCAATCTGCCCAATGGTTCTGCCAAATGAAGATTTTGATTATCAGTAACTTCATTTAGTTTGCAATAGTTATGAATTTAATTCTTTTCAGCCAATGTATTTTTTCTCTCTTTCTTATTTATCAGATTGTTTGGCTTGGAGATTGATGGTTATAATAGCTTATTATTTTTCATTCCATGAGATTAGAACAATAAACGGTAGTCCATTTAGCTTTGAAACAGAACACATTTGGTAGTATGGTTTGACAATGAGCCTATGACAAGCATATCTTTGTGGGGTATGAATGTCTCTTTTGTATTTTAATGATCACTAAGCCTTTTCCTATAGGGTGGGATTTAAATTTTGAACTAAAGGGCCAACATCGAATGCCTAACGGTCTATGGTTTTGACATGAATTTTTTTTTACGAAGTGTCCATGTCAAACATCGATAAAGCCTCTTCATGTTTTGAGCAAACCACTTACAAGTTCATGTTGTTGGTGACCACAACTGAGCATTGTATGGCAGCATGTCACAGTCACAGTCCATTAATCAGATGTTTAGTTCTAGCTGTTGCGTTTGTTTGTTTCGTTTTCTAACAGAGATGGATCAAGAGGAGGGCGGTATAGTTCAGCCACTCGTTTCGAAAGTTCACTTGGCCTATTTTGTGTCTTGGGCTCTTAACTTACATCGTATGGTCTTTTATCATTTAAAAGCCCATACAAAATCCAATTTTGTAGACACAATAGCTAAAAACAAATGGAAAATTTTATGGACATTTATTAAGAATGAAAAACGAATTAGGCAAAAGTACAAACAACTCCCCTGAACTATCACAAATCGGCATTTTATCCCCCTAGACTACAAAAATGAACAAATCAGTAGCAGAACTATCCAAATCCATGCAAGTAAACCCCTGAAGCTCAATTCCGGCCCACAAGTGCGGTCTTTTTCTTTTAATTCCAACATTGCCTTGGAATACTCATTAATACTATTATTTATTTGTTATTACCCTCGTCACCTTAAGCCTCTGATGGCCAGTGTTAGTTCAATCAAGGAACGCAAGAAAGAAAAAGCAAATGAAGAACCTAATTACTCTGTATAATAGAACAAATCAAAAGAGAGGATTGCAAAGGGTAATAACAAATAGCAATAAAAAAGCACAGGAAAAGGAAAGAAAAAGCCAAGAAAAATGGATGGTTATAGAGGGAGAGAGAGATTTTAGAGTGAGAGAGATGTTGTGGGTTGTTCATCATCTTCTTCCTAAAGGAAAGCGAACTCGTGTATGGGGGGGAGCATTTCTAATTTAGCTTCTTCTGATGTTGGGTGCCCCCAAAATCTCCCACTCCTCCAAACATCATCTCTTCTCTGATATGCGCAATTTCCGGCCACCATTGTCCCCGAAGACGATCCAGAGGGGCTCTGTTTGGATCACGACGTGCCGAAGGGTCCCTAAGTTAATCAGTTGTCGGCCGCTTGGGTCAAAATCAGTAAAGACAACTGGCCAATTCTTGCCTGCTGGTGCTGTGCCGCGAGTTCATCACAACCGAACTCACCACCGAGAAGCTCACAGTTGAGTTTTCCTTGCTCGCCGGTGCCGCGCCGCGCCACAAGGTCACAACCGACCTGTCCACAGCCCATCACCCGCTCATGCCGCCATCGCTATCGCCATCGCTGCACTAGCCGGCCGAATAAGGATTCCTTGCCAGAAATTGCACATTGCCGATTCAGTCATTGCCGTTGATTCAGTCTCGCCATCACCATCATCGTTCTTCGCTGGATTCTCAACAATCAACATACTTCTCGAATGGCCATCATCCACAGCCATGGTGACACCCTCGAAAACAAATCTAACAATCAACAAGCTCTGTTTCACAACCTCCGATGCGATGGATACCATCCTCTGAAGCCGATCAGATTTGCCGACGAATAGAGAGGATTATAACACTTGGGCAACGTTTGGTCATATGAGGGGCATTGAGGGTATTTTACGCTGATTATTTTTTTTTGTATTTTTTTTTCTTAATTATAATGGATAGTTTTGTAAATTTACAATGAAGTCGGCTAGAAAGTAGCCGGAATTGAGCTTAGGGGTTAACTTGCACGGATTTGAATAATTGTGGTACTGAATTGTTCATTTTTATAATCTAAGAGGATAAAGTGCCAATTTGTTATAATTCAGAGAGATTGTTTGCACTTTTATTAAAGAATTATTAAAGAAGCAAAAAGAAAGAGAAGAAACCAACTCCTATGAGAAGGAAATATTTTTTTGAAAAAATGAGAAATTCGGGTCCGCGACGGTCATTACGCTCACCACTCTACTACGACTTGGATATTAAATGTTTCATTGTCATATTATAAATATCAATTTTAAATCTTCTGGACCCAATTTTTTTAATTTTTTCTTAAATCAGATCACGTCTATCCCGACTCCCGAGTCCTGAGAGAGAAATCTTCTCCTTTACGAGAAAAGTTGGAGCATTAATTAGATAGATGATTAGTACCTATCGTTTTTTTGAGGTTTGTCTCGGTAACAACAGCCAATTAGAATATTTATCATTTTTTATATTAATTTTATTATAATTCAAAGATAAAAAAAAAAAAATTAAACAAAATAATAAATACCACTTAGGGGATCCAAATCCCTTTCCACATATTTTTCTCCAGAGCAAAGCAAAAGCGCCAAAAAAATCTTAGAACTTATAAAATATTTATTTATAATAATAAATATATGTTTTAAATAAATTTTATGCAAATAAAAAGTCAAAAATAGTAAATCAAATATGAGTCCCATTACAATTAATATAACCATCTTTATAAAAATACATAAATTAATCAAACAAGTTGCTTTATAAAAACAAAAACATAACATTAAATAGAGCATAACAGAAAAAATAAATAAATAATAAAAAATTACTTCCAAACATAACAGCAAACTAATAATAATAATGAATGAATTTCATTCATTTTTATACATTTAAGTTGCTTTAAGGTCTCAAAATGATGATCATTGTTTTTGAAATAGCAATGTTTTTTTTTAAATAAACTTTGTTCGAATCATTCCTTCACTTCAAAGAGCCCTAAACTTAATTGGAGAGAGAATATGAAATGTTCTAATATTTGGAATGAGAATAAGAATGAATCAATGATCCGAGAAATCAAGAGTCAAGAGACTCAAAAGTCAAGACTGAAGACTTCGTTTTTTCCGTTCAAAGAACCTTACACTTAATAGCATAGAAAAATTGCGGAGCGATGGAGCGATTTGAACGAAGAGCGTATTCCTCTTTTCTATTGAACAAAACATTAGAACTAACACGTATTCCTCTTTTTTACGTAACAAAACAATAAAGCTAACAATATTATTATGCTAGACTTACCATAACTTTCTAAATACAAGCTCGATCATAAAACTTCATCAAAATAAATCTCATTTATAATAAATGGAAAATGATTCTTTTACGGAATAGTTATAGTGAATTATTAGATCTACACTTTTAATTGTATTTTGTAAAAATTATTCGGTTAAACAATTTACCCAAAAAAAGAAAAAAGAAAAGAAAAAAGAAACATTACTTAACCATTTTACCGGTGAACATTATTAATTAAGCTGCTAGCATTTCCTATTATAACCAATTAACCATATTAGTATTTCATAAATTTGGGCCTTTATCTTTTCTTTTCAACTAAAAAACTTTTACCCAACCCAACCATCATTTCAAGCCCAGAAGCTCGTGTATATATACATACACTTCAACCGTCTCTCATCATAACCCTAGCCCCTAGATGATTATATTCTCTTCATCCATCGGTTGTGTTCCTCTGTCACTCAATCTTCTATCTCAACGGTGACCTTCCTATGGCAACTTCAAAACTTCGTTGTAGGGGCTTAGGCGACATCGTTTTGTGGCTTCGAGATCCATTCCATTGATGATTGTGATGACGACGGGTGATTGGGTTCGAACCGGTACACACCCTCGAGCCGTTCGGCACTGCTCGGCTCGAAGGTGAGCTATTCATATTAAGGAATGACGGGATAACCTCGAAGGTGAGCGAAACAGTTCAACGAGTGAGATGGCAATTTGGGTAATTTGTAAGGTACTGAATTTCCCTCCTTCTCCCAAATTCCCAAACCATTCAGGCTACTGAAACTACCGAGACTACTGAGATCTCAAGGTATCTTTTATCAAATTTTGTTTCGATTCTAATGTATATGTATGTATGTGTATATATATATATATAGTAATTAGCAATCAATCTGCATACAAGCCTGGATTGTCTGTTTGTTTTGTTTTGTTCATCGATTAGGGTTCAAATGCTTAATTTAATTTAAGGGCTTAACGATTCTAGCAATCAATCTGTATCTGTATATATATAAGCCTCGGTTCAAATGTGATTATTATATATATATATATATATATATATATATATAATCAGCTGCATATCTTACGGATTTACGTTCTCTTGGTTTATTATTGTTTCAATAATCAATCTGCATAGTCTTTTTTTTTTTTTTTTAACCGATATCTTATATTATAAATTTTCGATTCTCATATATATGTATAATTCAATCTGTACACGTGTGTATATATAGCTATTAGGATAGTACACTGACTTGTTTTTGTATTTTTTTTGGGGACTAGCCTTTAGGTGTTAACAGTAAAGTCCTGAATGTTTAACAGTCATGAATGTTAATAGTCCTTTCTGTCTATGCTTTCGTATTTGGAGTAAAGTTGCAATGATGATTAAATGATACTAGTTATTATTCTAATATCTTGTTTTTTATTTGGTTTTATAACTCTGCAACATTGTTCTTTTATAGTTTATTAGTTATGATTTGTGTTTTTTTTTCATTATGAGGCTGATGAAAAATAGTAACACTCAGTGAGATACCGAGAATCTGCTCATAATTTGCCTGAAATTGTTTTTGTGATCTCAATTGACAACAGTGAATTGTCCTTGAACGAAATTGATTCTGAAATGAGACGCTTCAATTTGGTCTCGATCAAAATGAAACGAATTCGATGTAGCGATGAATTTTGGGAACACATAGAATGTTTGTTCTATCCTGCATTTTGAAATTAGGAGCATATATATGCACTTGTTTAATAAAGGAGCCTGATCCTAAAAATTCCATTGACATATGCAGAGAACTGTTGTCATGGCATTAAGCCTGCACTAAAAAAATATATATTCTATATTTTCGAATGGTGATGGCTTATTTTCTTTAAAAATGCAATA